AGCGGGTCACCCTGAAGAGGGTGGCCGGGCGATTATCTGATGACGCAATGAGGGTGGAGTAGTAGTTAGACCTCGCCACCCTCATCGCCACTAGGTAGGATCTAACCTGTATCCTTGCCTGTGTTCGGTCGAATTCGGTTCGGCTCCTCCTCCAACTGCTCTCCAGGCGTCTTTTCCGGCGCTTCATCTCTCTCAGCTCTCTCTTTTCCGGCGCTTCATCTCTTCATCTCTCTCAGCTCCCCAGGGAGCCAATTGAGATCTGCGCCGGGTCAGAGGCCGCAAAGGCACGACTCGGTCCAACACTGCTATGATGTCCCCCCCCCCTCGTCCTTCTCTTCATTAAACTACACATACCCAATTCCAGCAGCCGTTCCTTATATACTTTACCCTCCAGTCCCCTAATCATCTTTGTTGCTGTTCTCTGTACTCTTTCTAGAGTCTCAACATCTTTTTTACAGCGTGGTGACCACAACTGGATGCAATATTCCAAGTGTGGCCTTACCAAAGCATTGTAAAGTGATATTAACACTTCACGTGATCTTGATTCTATCCCTCTGTTAATGCAGCCTAGCACTGTGTTGGCCTTTTTGGCAGCTGCAGCACACTGCTGGCTCATATTTAGGTGATTGTCCATTAGGACTCTGAGGTCTCTCTCACAGTTGCTACTATTGAGCAAGGTACCCCCTATACTATACCTGTACATTTGGTTTTTCTTGCCTAAATGTAGAACCTTGCTTTTTTCACCATTGAATTTCATTTTATTAGATAGTGCCCTGTGTTCAAGTCTGTCCAGATCCTTCTGTATCTTAAGTCTGTCTTCTGGAGTGTTGGCTATTCCTGCCAGCTTGGTGTCGTCTGCAAATTTGATGAGTTCCCCATCTATCCCCTCGTGCAAATCGTTGATGAAGATGTTGAAGAGCACTGGGCCCAGAACAGAGCCCTGGGGCACCCCACTACACACTTCCCTCCATGTAGATGCAGTTCCATTGAGGACCACTTGCTGAGTACGGCTGGTGAGCCAGCTATGGATCCATCTGGTGGTGATGCTGTCTACCCCACATTTTTCTATCTTGTCAAGTAGTAGGTTGTGATCTACTTTATCAAATGCCTTACTGAAGTCCAAGTAAATTATGTCCATAGCATTCCTCTCATCCACTAATTTTGTCACTTGGTCAAAGAATGCAATAAGATTTGTCTATTTTT